GGCCAACCTGGCGTCGGTATTTTGGGACCAGGGCCGATGGGAGGAGGCGGAGAGGCTTTTTGTGCAGGTGATGGAGACGAGCAAGACGAAGCTTGGGGCGGACCATCCCTCCACGCTGAACAGCATGCATAACCTGGCATATACTTTCAAAAGTCTTGGGCGTCTTCAAGAGGCGCTTGAGTTGATGGATCGCTGCGCTTCTCTTCGCCGCCATGTTATTGGCCTGCAACATCCAGATTCCTCGTCTTCAATGAGAGCATTAGAGTTGTGGCGGCAAGGTAGCGGGTAGTATGTCGCCGGAAGAGTATTCACTACAGCACATGATATCTACTATGATGAATCGCTAGCTGCTTTCGGATCCGGTTCTACATTTAGCATCTGAAACAGCTTGGACGCATCCCACTGTCATCTAACTCTGTTAATTGATCTACACTGGTGTCCTGGCATCCATCTTGAGCAGCCAAGCTTCGCAAGGAATTACTCATCGAAGTAAATGGATTCGGAGATGGGCTTTCTGTCAATTACTTCATTTTTCGCCTCTTCTCACAATTTATATCTCCTACATGGGTAAGTAGACACGTGGTATGGCCCCTTCTAGACACCTTGTCAAAGGGACAAGCGCCCATTCGTACACCTTTTGGGGCTTTCAATGGAAAGCTGTATTTCGAAAGAATCGCGCCAGAAGCTGTATTTACACAACATTACAATGCATACTGTAGATCTCAATAAACTGTCAACAAGCAAAAAAGCTGGTGAAATGGTGGGCTGGGTGTCAGGAAACCCGTCAGGCGAATGTACACGAGATTGACTTTCATGCGCGGGTAGATTACTTCCATGACGGGTCAGATGGTAAAACGTGGTGGCGAAGACGCTGGAGAAAGTAGCTCTCAGCTAGGTCGCACTGTGAAGCTAAGCCCAATTAAGCGAGAAACTGCTAGTACCTGCTGGTACTTACACGCTAGCCTGTCAAGAAGCAATGTGCCTAAAACATCCATCAATAACAGACGCAATTTCTAGCTGCCTAGATACAAATCAAGTAGCCCCAAGTACTTGCAACTTTTGGCTGCAGTAGCTTAGAAAGAGGGACTAGGTTGAAAAGCGGAACGCCTTTTTGCCCATGGCTGTACCCACGTTCATTCCTTGATAGAAAGGAAGCATGGCATGTGCTGCGTCTCCAAGGATGACGCCGGACGATCCAAAATGGTACGGTCTGCACTTGACGCTGATCAAAGGCTGCTGGGGACTTTCGTGGAGTGATTGGATAAGGTACTTGTCCGAGATGTGATTTCGCACTCCTGGAAAGTTTGCATCGAAAATTGAAGGAATTTGGGATTCATCAGCCTTCAGCGTGGCAAAGATACCCGCTGGCATGAAGACGGTGCAGGCAAATAGCCGTCCTAATCCGGTCAGAGATGGCAAACAGAGAAATTTACGGGCGCTGAATTCGAAGTATCTTACTTTGTTGGGAATGGCAATGAATGCGAAATCTCCCGCGGGCCAAATGTGCAGGTAGTTCGGCATGATCTTCCACCCGCGTGCTCCGTCGTTGTGTGCTTTGCCGGGCTTGATGTTGAACTCACACCACAACAGTTCAATGTACTCGTGTTGATAATCCATGCAAGAGACTTTCATCATGTTGTAACGGACGGTAGAGTGCGCGCCGTCAGCACCGAGCATCATGTCAAATTTGACCTCGGCACTATGGGAGAGCCAGTCTTCGTCTTCAAACAAAGCCGTGCCATGAAAATTGGCACGAACGAACTTGTATTGAAGAATATTTTGATATTAGGAAGTACATCAAGCGAATCGAGAAGTGCACAAGTCAGATCCTTGCAATCAATAGCGAGGTTGTTCTGCCATATTTAATACTCCATAGTTACATGACAGTGCCGCGGCCGATCACATACGTTGTCGAGAGTATCAAAACCTTCGGACAGTTCAAACGTGTCTCCGAATGATTTTTTCCCGTGAATCATCCTACCTCGAATGGGTATCGAGGCATCAATAACGCGCTGGAGGAGATCTGGTTGCTCCGCTTTACGCAAGGCCTTCATGCCGCGCTCTGAGATTGTCAGGTTCATAGACCTAGCGGTGCCAAAAGAGCCAGACCCGGGACGACGTGGATATGTGCATTGTCAATTGTCAGAAGTTGGACCAAGACGACTTTCCAGTGAGAGGCATACCTGGGCGAAGCTCATAAACCTCCACATTGTAGCCTCGCTGAGCAGCATATAGCGCGGCCAATGACCCAACCGGGCCAGCACCAACAATGGCCATTTTCTGGGGTTGCATTCGGACGGCAAACGTGTAGCAAAAGAGGGCTTTTTCTTCGGCCGACCACTAATGTAACTAACGTATAGAAAGACGAGGGCAAAACTCGATGCGGTCATGAAATACGCGCCTGCAAACAGTCGTTGGAAATGTTTGGGGCATACAATATCTAGGTTGAAGAAAAACAAGACTTTGGCGTCGGCTACAGAAACTGCTCCCCGCTCTGCGGCTCGCTCAAATCTCTCCGCGCCATGACTAAACATTTGCGTGCACAGGTAACATTGATATTCATCAGCGCCGAAACTTGCTTCCTCTGCATTAGGAAGTGCCAGAGTTGCCGTTCAACAACTTCAACGAGAACACAGGGTCAGAGATTGTGTTTTTACTTGCGCTGTTCACAAAAGGCTTATTAATACTATGTCGTTACAGTATCATGGCCACGAAAAGCACTTCAGAGCTCGATACACACATCAAAAAAAGTCAGCACTCGGATTGCAAACTATTGGACGTGGGCGAACCCGTTCTGCTGCGAAGTATATTGTGCTCCATGGTTTGTATGTAAATATCTTGCCTAGTGATCAAAGATACCGCATTGACTTTCCATCCGCTCGTCGATTCCGTATGCGCTAACATTTAGTGTCGCAGGGCTCCCTCGTCTACTATGAATCGCGTCGCATTCCATCTCATTCGCGCAATCCCAGCTATCTACTCCGCTAGCCGCGTTCAAAAAGAGCATTCGCCTTCGACGCAAGCTGTGTCGCTAATACAAGCAGAATTTAAAAACTTCCCTTAATAAAGGGATCTCCTTGTTGAAAGAGGAGAGCCAGTTGCCCTGAGAAACTCTATCCACTGTCTCTCTTCATCATCCCGGGACTTCGGCACTCGTTTCCATATAGTGGTATGTGCCGTACAAGTGGAAGCTGGAGGATTTCTTTGCGCAGGAGCCGCAGGCAGAACCCCTTTGGTAGGATAGATAAGCCCACTGAACGGATCATCATCATCGAATTCAACCGATTCCAGTAAATCTTTTCTGTCGTTCCATGCTCGAACGACTCTGGCCGACCATCTGTCTCCTGAAAGCACCTGAAGATGTTTTTTGTCGGCGTAGAATGATGCGCTTCCACGGAGATACAAACTTTCATCTTTCAGAAGTCCGCTCAGATCGATATATGCCCTTTCTCCAGTTTCATCTGATGGCAGACCAGTAACATGCAGCTCATTCAGCTGACAGCCAAGCTGATGTGTGGCCATATCATGAAACTCAGGGCCGGGCATTGGTACAAGCTCCGTTGAAAAGTTGACCAAGTCCAACCGCAACGATGTCAAATTCGGAAGCATAAACAGCCGCGGCAGCTGGTCTAAGTGGTCACACGGCGACCGTAAGGCCGCCAGAAAATCCACAATCTGCAGCCAAGTATAGCAACGAAAACCACCAGGGACTAGAGGGAACCGTTGCAAACGCCTTTGTACTTTGAGAGGCCTGTTAGTCTTCAGGTCGGGATGATAGTCAGCCTCAAGCATGTGTTGGCGGTCTGTATCATCAAAGTAATGCGCAATGACGCGCAATGTGATATGCTTGATCGTCCGGCGGAAGCGTAAATCTAGCCTCTTGAGTTGGCGAAGAGCTTGTGGAGAGGTAAATATGAATTGATTCCGCTCCCATAAGTATGCTGTTCCTTCGTCGTGTAATGCTCGGCACGTAGATAGGAAATGGATGGCGATCTGGTTGCCTCTGCATTTTTCGAGAGTAGACAAGTTTCAGACGAAGGTGGTGAGAGAGGATCGATGATGGGGTGAGGACTTGTCATGGCAAACTTGAGGACATGCAATAGAAGCTCCGTTGGTAAGCGGGCAGGTCGAGGGATGTGCCTTTTATTGCGCGCTTCATTCAGATGTTCTCGTGAGACGCAGGACCACGGAACTCCATGATATCTTAAAAGTTTCTTGAGTCGCGTATTTTCTGCTACCAATTTCTCATTGCAAAGAAGAATTGTAGTCTCGTAAGTCTCGGTTTGATCCTCTCGGTCTCGGCATTCCCGTGGAATTACCTATCACCTGTCAGTCTTGACGTGTGAGTCATATAGATTACGTACAATTTGATCCATTCTGGCTTAGAACTCGTATTCGCTCTCTGGATATTCGCTGCGCGCCCAAGAATTCAGCCAATGTCCAACAGGCGATTGTGGTATTCATACTGCACTATATCGCTTTCGTTGTCCGACAAAATGTAATATTGTTGTCAGTTTCCGTTCAACTCACCTCCGCCAATATGATAATACATACCTAGAGCACTTTATGCAATGGGTAGAGTTGGGCCAGTTTCGGCCATAGTTCGCTGGGTTAAGGGTAACCAGAAAGGGCTTCCAGCAGCAGAAACCGGCCCAATAACGAAGCTCAAGAGCGCTGATCTGAGCATCAAAAAGGCTGCTGCACTGTACCTCAAGAAAGCACCTCCGCCGTCAAGAGAAATGCCTCATGAAGAACGGTCTTGATACTTTTACAATGAGCTGTCACAAAGCTCTTCTAGCATCGACCCTGGAACGAGCGTTGTATGGTACTCACGCTGTGGTGTCTTATGAATTCACTCGCGACACCCATTCCAGTTTGGCTCAGGGTCATTCACAACACGCGATCGATGAAGAGCCCAACAGTGCTCCCCAGCTAAACAAATTCACATTTGCTTTCGCATACAACAAGTTAACGGCATCAATTGTACTGTAGCCGATAAATTTCGCGATTCAAACTGATCGTGTAGGTTTGAAATTGCGTCAGCACCGTTTTCAGTCGTCTTACTACGGCGCAGTATGTTCACCGGCCGAGGCATTGCCAATGCTGCTCGAATTTTCCCATGTGTGGGAGTCGTAAAGGCCGTGTCGAAAGCCATAGAAGCAGCTGCTCTATGTTGCCGAGAAGTCTCCGTCAGATTGGCCAAAGTGCAAGCCAAGCAGTACGGCAATTCAGGTTACCGTACGATTTTTGCAATGGCCTCTGACCGATCGAACAACAACTGATATCACCAGCACTCCGCTTGCCACACGCAAAATGAGACGTGGCAAGTTTGAAAGGATCGATGACGCATCCATGCTGAAGCGCCTTGGTCTGAAGCAAATATGACCCTAAAGGCATGCAAGCGTCAGATCACTGTGGCATACACTTGACCGCAGAATCAAGCAGGCTGAGCACGTGAGACAGCCATCTCAACAATATATAAAGGTAATGCGTCTCCTCGCGTGGAGAACTTGATTCCTTACTCTCACATCTATCAAAATCTCGCTGCGCTGTTTGTAATCCTGCTATAAACAGCACAAGTCCCCGTGGAGTCGATGAAGGCCTTTGCCACTCTTCGAGCCTCCCTATCTCCTAGTGGCCGGTTTACTTCACGGATACAGGCATCGACTCAGCGACGAGCCGCTTGTCGTCGCCGTTGCGAACTTCTAGGCGGGAACTCATCTCCGCGCCAACACTCGCAGAATCAAACCACCGACAACGAAAAGTTTACCAAGCGTTCTCGATCAACACCACCCGTGTGGTCTCAGCGTGCTCGCAGCATCATTAGGAAGCTACAGAAGCTCGTGCAAGCCGAGCCATTGCCTTGCGGCAGCCCCGGCATGCTATGCGACGACTTGTGTCAGAATCGAAGGATGGATTACTGGTGCGATGATGACAACTGCTCCGTCGGTGCATCGTGCACCAACAGATGCATCGATAACGGTCAAAGCTATTACGAGACCTACTATACCATGCACAAAGGACAAGGGCTACGCAGTACTTTGTTAATACCGCCGAACACGTTTCTCGGCGAATACGAAGGCAAGTATATCACACGAGAGCAAGCCTTGCGGCAATGTAGGAGGTACGCTGAATACAAGGTACAATAACCCTGTTTGCCTCCTTATTGCTCTCACTGACTTCGTATCGCGCAGCACCATTATATGGTAGATATTGGGTATGATCTCGTGTGCGATGCAACCGAGGCTCATAGTCTTATTCGTCAGGTCAATCACAGTTGCGAGCCAAATTGCATTTTGAAAGTGCAATTCAGCTCGGGTGGGCCACGTCTCGGACTTTTTTCGGCGTATGAGCCTATCGAGCCGCAGAGCAAACTTACTTTCATTTACAACTTCCAGCTTTTCCCTGGGAAGTGTGCGCAGCGATGCATGTGCGGTGCCGACAAGTGTAGGGGCTACATTGTTTCTCCAGCTAGCAATGCTGCAGAAAAAAAGACACTCTCCCGAGATGCAGAACAAGATCAAAAACAGAATCGCGAATTTCCGTTTCAGAGGGATGGAAGCCTTTCAGATCCCATAGTCATTGACTGAATACATAACGCTGACGGAATAGTCGCAGAGGTCACCAAAGCAGTCTTCTAGCCAGAGCTATACGTAACGGGCTAACAGTGGACACAACAGGCACATAATTCTTATTTCTGTTGCTGCGCTCGAGACACTTCTCTGTCGTTTTGTATGGAATGAGATGCAAGCAAAAAAGGGAGAACGTGCCGTGTAAGCTTACGCCAAGGAGCTACTTCTGGCCCTGGAGCTAGTGCGGCAACTATGCAGCAACGGGAGCACGAATGTGAATAGTCCAATGTCTGTCAGGTACTTGAAAGAAAATGATAAGCTAGGATAAGTCGCTTCTTCTGATCCCGTTTATGTGCTACGCTTTCATCGTGAATCAACGATGCCGTGATGCCTTCACCCCGGCACAGCAATGTGGAGCGACGGCGGGAGAGAGATAATTGTCGCCTGACACTATCCAGATATATAAGTATGACTATGCGAACTGCTTTTTGTGGGAAGATACTGACGCCGAGTGGATGAGCGACTGGGCATCGCCGTGACTCCTTCCGAGGTGCGCCTGAACCCTCGGCCGCTGGATGGCTATAGCTGGAAAGCGTGTCCCGGACATGAGAGCTTTTTCGATCTCGTTTTCGCTAAGAACTTGAGTGATCAGTCTATCAGCACATATAGACTGCTGGCCAGACATGTTGGGAAGACATTTGAAGCAGTGTCGGCAGAAGCCAGTGAGGAAAGCGCCAACCTGATCCTTTCAGTAAGTAGACTCGAAGATCAGATATGTTGACTCGCTAACTATCTTGAGCCATCGTCGAGCAAGCTCTACGCCGAGAATGAGCAGCTCCGGACAGAGAACTTGTCGCTCTCACAACAGGTTCAACAGCTGTCAGACGCTTTGGAGAAGGAAACTGAGCAGAAGCTTACTGTCGTAAGTCAGAACGAGGAACTACGTCAGGATTTGCAATCCGCCAAAGAAACTATTATTCAGCGCACGGACGAAGTGCTACGGTATCAGACGGCGTTGTCGAATTGGTTCCGTGAGCTAGACAAAGCGATGCCAGCGCTTGATGATCTTCGGCACACAATGATAGAAGGTGCAACTATGTAGCAGACTGCCATAAAACGCGGAAAGAATTGAATCACAGAAAAGCTCGGGAGAGGTAGCACTATACAGCGTCATGAAAAAATCGCGAATCTTTTATATTATTCGCTGGTCTCAGCACCAATATGTAAAGTAAAACGATTACCCGCTTCGTCTATGCCGCTAAGCATTATAGACACGGCCCTACGCGTGAAGCGCTGCACGCACAGCCTAAGCTGTTCTTCTAGAGCCTCCAAGCAGGCCGTTCCAGCACAATCCGCCGCATCGTCGTATCGTTTTCGCTTGCTGGGACGTGTAACATGGCCATTGAGGTCGTGTCGAACTAGGTCTGCCTCGGTCGTTGTTTGTTGCGCTGCCGTCATGTTTTGCGGACTAAGGTCCGGACGATGATAGTGAAACAGCGGGCTTGTGGGGCTGCCCCGAGCCTGGTTGGTCTCTGTGTGCTTCGCGGTCGTAGTGTCGTCGTTGACAAACCGCCCCCAGTCATTGTCTCGCAAGGGGTCAGTCGGGCACTCCAGTGAGGGATCGAGAGGCAAATCCAAAGCATTCGGCCTGGCGCTGTCGCTTGCCGGGCTCCGACCAAATCTGATGCTGTCGTGTCCTTGGTGGGTGCATTGCGTTTGTGGTTGACAAAAGGAGCATAAGGAGTCTCTGGAGGAAGCAGGCATTGCGTTCAGTGTAGGGACCTTGGAAAGTAAACTTTGTGCAATGACTGCGTTGCATCTTATCAACGCAGGCTCTGCGGGTGTTAAAAGCTTATGCCAGCTCTGCCGGCAGGAAAAGGCGCAAGCAAGAATGACCAGGTATGCGCGATCAGGAATATAGAAGTTGACGTGGTGAAGGCAGCCGCTCGCGGTGGCGTGGCGCAGAAGACTGATCATGCCTAGAAGGGCGTGGGGCCCGAAATGGATGCTGTGGCAGGGGCGACCATGATAGCGACACGCCTTACTGACTTGCCACAAAGATCTGTGTGCGGAGGCCGCATATGAGCGCCGTGCACAGCAAATATCGTCAAGACGGCGCGACTGTATTAAGTCAAAAATCGCTGTTTTGGCTAGATATGGCGAAGCTGTCCACGAACGATTTTTGTACAGTAGTTATTTCGCCAAAATCCGCCTGGTGGTAGATGCTGCCATTGGTCTTGCTCGGACAATTGAGCGAAAAGTGCCAGCCATGTTGGAAAGAAGCAAACTGCTTCTGACTAGGAGACCATCCAACAAATTTCCCATAACGATGAGCGATTGCGGCAAGACCGCGGATGTTTGCGCCCATGAACGCGATCCAGAATGGGACAAAATAGCTCAACCTATTTAAACTAAGATCTCAAGTACTGTTTTATTATTGCCGACTCACCGGCACCTATGGCTCTTATGAAAAGAGTAAAACATCTTGTATTAATATCCTTATGGACTTTGATGACGGGTTGCGCTGCAGGACATCAGGCCCGCGTTGAAAATCATTGCCCCTTCCCAATTTACCTGCGATCTGTTCAACAACTTATTCTTGAGCCGTCTCCCGTCTATCGAATCGATCCCGGACAGGCATATTCCGAAAGTTACAAGCCAGTGGATAATGGTACTGGGGTCTCAACCAAAATAAGTAGAGTGCTATCTATGACAGGTCCTATCACGCAGTTTGAATACGCCTTCGTGCCCCAGCAAACGCCAAACTTATTCTACGATCTATCCGATATCAACGACGGGAATCCACGCCAGTTCTGTGACTTTGGTCTCGCGTTGTATCCTTCTTCCCTTGAATGTTCTCCCATCATTTGTCCGGCAGATTGTCGACGATCTTGCTCACAAGTATACAATAAGTTTGATGATGACTCTGCCACCCGAGGCTGTCATGAAGAGTCATTGGCCTTAATTCTTTGTATTGATGGGCACGACTCGCTCTTGTAAAGCCTCATCGAGCGAAACACAGAGGAACTGTTTGCACGCAGAGTCGGGCAAAGGTAACTCATCCCGTCGATACAGAAAAGGGCGAATAGAGCGTAGCGACAGCCTGGTCCAGGCTGTAGCGTCGGTAAAACCTATTGCGTATCCAAAACTTTTGGCAAGTCATTCTTCTGCAGAGCGTCATGACCGATCTCTCGTTTAGATGTCCCCTGCAGAGCGTCATGATTGATCTCTTGTTTAGATGTCCTACCCTCAATAATCTACACAATTAGCAGTGAGCTCATCATAGATGTATGTATACAAAGCGCTATAGGCTTACCATTGCGTTTAGATCTGGGAAAGCCATGCCTAGTGGGCAGTGTTGAGTGACATGCCATACCGCTCGGGGATGCTCGTACACGAGAAGTGCTGGCACATTTCCGCTGTTACCGAGTTTTTACGCGGCATGCTAGGGAAAGAGCAGTGTCCTCGCGGCGCATGACTTCAATAGAAAGATTTGTGGAAAGAAAATTGGTCTCAATTTTCAGAATTATTTTTCAAAAGCGGTTTTCGGACATGCCACACACATACTTATAGCTGTAGAAACGTCACGTCGTCCGCAACCTGGCTTGAGGAGCAAAAAAGGGCGGTTCTTGTCCTTCTAGACTGTGAAAAGCAACGGGCTGTTCGTCCGAGCTGCTCCTTGGCAGCCAATTCTTACTCGCAGCACTCTATGGGGTGCGCCATGGGGTGTGTAATGGT